GGGGGGTCTGAAGGCAACTAGGCAGCAGATTGTGTTGTCTTTCCTTTGCCTTGAAATAGCAAGTGGATGGTGTTTACTGATCTTGACATTTCAGAGGAAATTTTATTTCTTCTCCAAGCAAATTGTCAGATTCAGATTCACTAATTTGCGCTTTTTTCTTTTCTTTTGTGGTGACCCCACACAGGGTCAGCTATCAGAGCATGACTCTTCCAGTTTGATGACCTGGATTGACTCAATTAGCTGCCGAGGGCACCACTCGCCTGCACCTCGACGTGTCTAGCCAATGCCAGTTGCGTCTCCTAGTCTCAGATTCCCCTGGCTGTGTTTCTGTCCCTCCACTACTCAGTGAGGTCCCCCAGATGGTACATGCAGCCTAGTCAGAGCTTCTAAATAATTTAAGTTAAAAAGGATTCTCACTTTTTCTGATGAACGATTTGGTAAATTATTTGTGCTTTCTTGCTTATTTTACTTCTTTTTCCTCCGCCCTTGGAGTTGTTTACTTGCTAAAACTCAGAGCTGTCTATGTTTGGCTGTTTTCCAAAGGCATAGGGGGTTGGACTCACTGCTCAACAGTAGTTGGGTATTTTCCATCTACCCTGTTTCAAAAACAGTACTGAATACCCATCACATAAGGGCCTATGGTAAACACTACATGATATAAAAAAATATCACTAATAAATATTTCCCAACTTTCAGTAGTTTACATTCTAAGACAGTGGTTCTCAGCCTTCCTAATGCCTCGACCCTTTCATACAGTTCCTCATGTAGTGGTGACCCCCACAACCATATAATTATTTTCATTGCTACTTCATAACTGTAATTTTGCTACTGTTATGAATTGGGCGACCCCTGTGAAAGGGTCACTCGACCCCCAAAGGGGTTGCAACCCAGAGGTTGAGAACCGCTGTTCTAAGAGGAGATGTGAAACAGAAGGGTGACTGAACAAGACAGTCTTTCGTGAATGCGAAGAGGGGGTACAAACAAAATGCCATGGGGTTTCTAGAAGAGAAGGGAATTCCTTCTAAGTGGAATGCTTAATTACAGAAGATGTTGTGGATGTTTGAAATTGGCCTTAAAGAAGGGGACGTAATGCCACCAGTCAAACTTGATTTACACCACCTATGCTCTCCAGAAAAGAAGTCTTGGTGGCTCAGTGGGTTAAGTGGTGGACTGCGGTCCATAAGGTCAGCAGTTCAAACCCACCAACCAGTTGGCAGGAGACAGATGAGACAGTCTACTCTTGTAAAGATATACCACCTTAAAAATGCTATGGCAGTTCCACACTGACCGGTGGGGTCGTTATAACTCAGAATTGACTTGATGGCAATGGGTTGGGGCTGTGTTGATTAGGTTCCAGAAAGAACCTCTGCTTCTCATGTGCGAAACAGTGAAATAGAACGTTGTTCTACTTAAGCAGGTGAGGAAACAGGCGTGGGAAAGAAAGAAACCATGGAGCCAGGAGGAATGTGGGCACATAAAATAGTGCCCCTGGTACTAGGCACCAGGTCCAGTTAGGGAGATGACCATTTAAATTATCCAGGCTCGACCTCTCTTCTTGCTAACGATGGACACAGGGGAGTGTACTCTCAGCCTGAGCCACCCAGCAGAGGAGACTTGAGCTCTGGGGAAGCCGTGCCAGCTGCTCAGCATCTGCCCATTCTGTCTCCACAGGTCCTGGGATGGATCCGCAACGGGGAGTCCATGCTCAGCGCCAGCCTGGTCAACGCCAGCTCGTTGTCTGAGGCAGAGCAACTGCAGCGGGAACACGAGCAGTTCCAGCTGGCCATCGAGGTAACGGCCAACTCTGGCTGCCCTGCGCCCCCTTTCTGCTCTGTGCCTCCAGTGGGATGATCCCCTGAGGTGTGGATGCTCCCCCAGGGGCCAAAGCCCTTGCCCTGTTCAGTGAGCGGTGCCAGGCAGCCTCCCTTTTACCCAGGAGTTGGCAGGGAAGCAAACCATCCCAGGGGCCTCATTTTAGAAAGCAAGTGTGCGCAGCACAAATCATATGTGTGACTAGCCTACTCCAGGGGAGCTTGATGGAGCGCATGCTGCATAGGAACCGTTAACCTGGAAGGCTCCTGGCACATGGGATGAGTCTTCATGGATGATAAACGGGTCAGGCCCAACATGAGAAGTGTAAAACTAGAAGGTTAGAAACCACTCGGAATCGGAGAGCACTCAGAATTGAGGATGAACAAGCATGGACATCATTGGGCAGCGAAGGTTTTATTTTTAGGCATTTGACCTCTGTGTTGCGTTTACAAACTGTTGTCAGGCTCTGCCTCTAAACAAGGCCGCTAGACCAGCAGCCGCCTGCAGCAGCTAGCTTGTCTCGTGAGGAACTGGCTCTGTGATGGTGGTGCAGGTCGTCCGGAAGGAAACTTCACCACCAGAAATAGCTTGCCAACAGAGACTTTCCTCAAAGTCCGTTTTAACATCAAATTCCACCTGAGCGCCATCTAATAGGAGTATTTTCATACTTTCAATAATGTCTTTAATTAGCCTTTCCACGAGAACACTCTCCTTCCCAAAGAGATTTGGGTTGATTGCTTTGATGTGGTGGGGAAAAGATTTGGAAGTGGGACAGGGGCCCTCAGTGAAAAAGAAGTCCAGTACCAGTGGGGAAAGAGAAAGAGCGAGCAATCCAAGGGCACTCGTTACTTACGGGTCAGTAAGACCCTGCCCACTTCGCGGAGTGAAAGAAATGTCTCCACCACCATGATAGGCAAGCAGTACAATTTCAGCTGACTGCTTAGAACTACATGTTTTAATTTAGTGATTCAACTCAATTAATTAATCTTGAAGCCAGTATAGACTGAACTCAGTCGTGTAATGGTCCAGAAAGCCTCTTACATGCCATGTTCAGGTAAATGACATTTCTGTAGGGTACCTTGCTATATTTTTAGGAGCTACTTAATTGTGTTAGGAACACAGGCTTCCCCCACTATCCAAAAGTTGAGTGTACCTGTTGAAGCCTCTTATAAGTCCAAAGGGACATACAGCGAAGAAGCAATTACCATTAATTTGCATATGGAAAACGATCCCTCCCCCCCAAAATACCAGGTAGCACATACAACCTGAAGTAACACTAACATAACCACAAAGTTCATGGGAAAATTACTTTGCCTTCTGATTCCACGTTTCCACCCATTTTTGGAGTCCCACTGTAGTACAAAGCTGTGGCAACTTGGTAGAGGGGCGTGCTGCCTCTTGAGGGGCTGGCTGCAAAGCAAACACTGAGAAAAGCCTTGTTTTTTGTAAAGTAAAAAGCCTCTGCAGATTTGGTTCAGTTAGTGAAAAATAGGCAGTGCATATAGGACTTACACAGACGACGTGTAGGGCATATTTGATGCAGGACACACCCATGCAGTGGGGTCTAGTGAACTTTTAAAAAGTAGGCGATGCCTATACGACCCGGGATGCGAGATTTCAAAAGAACCACGCATGCCCTAGGCGCAAATCATTTAGAAGGGGAGACGCTCTGTTATCACCAGCTGTCTCTGTTGCAGTTGACTGACAAGGACAAATCTGATCGTGGGGTCTGATCCGTGTAGAACAGAGCTAGGTCAGAAGACCCATGGAGCAGCATTCACCCGGTAGTGAAGGTCCGCCGAGACAAGTCAACAGCAGTGTGGGCTGCGTGCAGTTGGGCAGTCACTCTAGAGACAGAAGCGCTGCTGGAGGGGGAGAGGGCAGCACTGAGCTACACCAAACCCCCAACCAAGCCCAACTGTAATGTAGCCAGTTCCAACTCATTGTGACCCTCCCCTTTCACCCGCTGACCTTGCAGTCAGCAACCCCGTGTGTAATCCTCTTGCACCAGCAGGGCCAAGTCTCGTCTTTATCTGCCTTGACAGTGAAAGTTTACCTAACCTGTCCAGATAACGACATGTCTATTCCCTTAGCCAAATGGTGGCCGGTAAAACCCAGGGTCATGCCACATGGGCGCTGCAGTATGCTGGTGGGAAATAGTGGGCAGATGCCTCTACTGCTGCCATTGTCCTGTGCTGTCGAGGCGATCCCCACGCACGGGGACCCTTTCAGAGCATAAATGCCCTGTAGGGATTCCTAGGCTGGGGTCTTTATGGGAAGGGGCCCTGGCAGTGCAGTGGGTAAGTGCTCGGCTGCTAACCGAAACGTGGGTGGTTTGAGCACACTAGACTCCATGGGAGAAAGCTCTGCCCTCCTGGCTCCATGCAGATTGTGCTCTTAGAAACCTGGTGCTTGTGCGACAGCTGGACTCTGCCGTGTAGGGTTACTGTGAGTTGGTATCACACCTGTCCATCATCACCATGACCGTGGGTTTAATCTTTATGGGGACAGAGCACCTAGTCTTTTCTCCTGTAGAGTGGCTTGTGGGTTCAAGCCACGGGGAGGGTCTGCAGCATGGCTAGAATAGGAGAGAGAGCAGGACCCAAATTTCGGCACCAGCGTTTCCTCTAAGTGGCGGCCGTGTGCTTCTTTCTAAATGTGTCCATGTAGACCATGTTCCATCTCCTGGGAAATAGGCCAGCGAGGCCTTAAGCAACTGACCCAGCAGCATAATCAAAACTAATGTCATTGAGTCAATTCCAGCTCTTCATGACCCTATATACAGGGTTTCCCAGGTTATAATTCTGTATGGGTGCAGACTGCCTCATCTTTCTGCCTCAGAGATGATGGTGGGTTTGAACTGCTGACCTTGTGATTAGCAGCCCAACACTACATAACTTAAAAAGAGTATAAGTAGTCTAGTTTAGCTTGGTCCATGTTGAGGGTGTTCCATGAGGCCTTTACAATGATTTCCTGATGGGGCACGTGCTGGGACTGACTGGCTTATAGAAATACCAGCTGTCCCTGTAGACTGACCCTAGGATGGACCATTCTTACCTGGACAATTTTAACGTGAAGGAAGGGATTATTAATAACTCAGGCAAAAAAATAGACACACACTGGGCCTGGCATGTGGGGAAACCAGAAGACTGCTCACCCTGCTGTGTGACCTCATCACATTGAAGGTTTTGCTCTCCCCAAGGAGTGCCAGCCTTTGCCTGAAAGAGCCTTGACTTAAGCAGCCCTCCCTGCCCAGCGCCATTCAGAATGGAGAGGAGTGCATTACGCCCAGAAGCAGCATGGTTTTATCAAGCAAAGCTAGTCTGTTATCTCTTTGTAGCTAAGATATTGTGGCTGGTAAGCCTCCGGGGACTGTGAACCTCATAGAAATAGATTCACGTTTAAAATCCATTTTTATTTGAAATTTTCTTACTCATTTTAAGCATGGGTATTTGTATCAGGAAAATTGTGAAAACAGTATAGTAAATTCAATTGATTTTCTGTGTACTCCTACTAAACATTAATATTTCTTATAATCCATGTCTTAAAGATATAGAGCTCAGTCTAATTGGATATGGGGAGTATAAGGAAGTAATAAAGAATGACGATTTAAGTTTAGCAAAGCAGATCATGATGTTTGGATAACACCTCCTTTTAGAAAGTAAAAGAGGAGGCCTTTCTAGGACCATCCGATAATGATGACCCGAGGAATGGGAAAGAGGACTCACCACTACGCAGGTGAGGTGAGCCTGCAAGTTGCGCCTCCACTCTCAGGGAAGAAGGCATAATAACGTGATAATAGTTAAGTGCTGCTTTCATAGCTTGAGATCTGCCAAATATTGACCATAATTACTACTATTTATTTGGTGAACCCTGTGCTCTGAATGGGATGCTGCAGATACCAGCCTAATTATCAGAGATAGATGATGCAGTGTGATAACAGTAGAAGGATCATAGCTCTGGGAATAGATCAAACCAGAGGCGTATTTCCGGGTTCAACACTTCCTATATACGTATTCATATTTCCGGGTTCAACACTTCCTCGGTCGTACATCTTAGGACAAGACACTCAACTAGCCTCAGGCCCATTTTTTTTTTTAATCTAGGAAATGGAAATATTGTTATCCACCTTTGAGTAATGTTACAAGAACTAGAAAATATGCATTAAGTACAGTACCTAGCACTGAGTAGAGCCTTGGGAAATCTCAGCTATTAGCATTATTTTTAACAGTCTCTACCCTGAAAGTTTCAGCCAAGCATTAGCTAAATAACCTAGGAGAATCATCTTTCATGACTTTCAGGTTGTTGGGAAAGAACTTAATTGAAGGAAGGGGGACTTGGAATCAATTTCAAAGGAAGACTGGAACAAAGATGGGGGGGGGGGGTGGCGGACCTAAGAGACACCTGTTAAAGACAGAGCAATGACTAGAACAGAAACAGAAAAGAACATGGACAGTATACATTCAAAGGGTTTTTGGCGAGGAAATGTATATGGTTATGTTGGAGACCATGTTGTAGACATTGTTTAATGACAGCCTCCCCTATTTGGACTTAATTTCATAGCAATGAGGAAAATCCGAAAGACTTTAGGATTGAGACCAGGGCATGAGGTAAAGCTCCTTGTGTCAGACTAGAGCTTTACTGCTAAAGGGAGTGGGTTGTGATTCATGCCCACGGAATTGATTCTGACTCAGGGTGACCCCACGTGGTTTTCAAGGCTGGGACCTTTCATAAGAAAGCCTCTGTTTTGAGGCGACACTGGGCGGATTTGATCGGTGTAACTGATGGCAGCACACTGGAAGGCTCTGGGGTCTGGGAGCAGGAGGCGACCAGAGGGGAGAGAAGCTCACTAACACCAAGTGCAGATTCAGGGGCAGGAAGGGAAGCCCGGAGGCTGCTGACTGGAACATTTCACAGTGTGTAGAGTGCAGTTTGGAATGAGAAGGAGAAGCAAATGCAATATGGGAAATGTTGAGCCAACTGTCCCTCGGGAATTGCCCCTGCATGCTGCCCAAGAAGAAGATCAGGAGTTAACTCTGGAACAAGTTACGGGGCTGCTAACTCATTCCCTCCCACTGTTGATTAAGCTACGCTTCCCTCAAAGTGGAAAGGCCAGATTAGTCTTACTCTCTGAAAAGGGTCCTAGAGACACAGACGATCTGTACGTGACTAGTAACCTGAAGATGGCCAGTCTGACTCCACTCACTGGCCCTCGGAGACGCCTGATGACCTGCTTCCCTCCTCTAGCCAAAAGGCCCTATGGCAAGACTCTTCTGCTACGTAGCTGAGGGACCATGAGTTGGAACTGATTCAGCAGCAGTGGGTTTGGTTGGATCTGGGGGGCATGGAAGTGAGCCCAGCAACAGAGGATGAGATGACATCAGCTGTCAAGTCACTTGGCCTCCAGCATCCCCATGTGGATCATTTCATTTTAGTAAATTTTCATCCCATTTAGTTAAATCCCCGCTGACCCCATCCTCCAGTCTGGCCTCATCACCACTTGCGTGTTTCATAAACACAGAGAACGAGAGCCCCGTTTAGCTTGAATCAGGAGGCATGGTCAAGGTAAACTTTGTACCAAAGCTTATATTATACCATAAAGCCAAATATAAATGACGTGGGAGTTATACTTTGAGCTGTAGCCGATGTACTGCTTTGTCCCGGGGTGGGGTTACTGGAGGGTAGCATGAGAGGATACTTTTAAAGTTTTCTTACCTTGAAAACTTTAATTTCTTCCACTGAAACCCTTTCCGACTGATGATGCTTGCTTGAAATGAATCGCACTGCGTTTGGTGGACGTTTTTGACACTCAGAGAGTTTTCTTCTTAATGAGCTGCAAATGTTTGATCTAGAAACGGGCTCTAGCAATAACTTGTCTGAAAACTCAGTCTGGTGAACAGTTTTAGGATTTGACTTGGAAGGGACCTTTATATAACGTATGAACCGACCAGAGAACAGATGCATAGACATAGACACTGTTTCTCCTCCACAGAAACCGGACCCTCCTTAAAACCCAGATGCAAGTAGTGGAGGAGAGAGGAGGGACAGGGGTTACAGAGCCGAGAGATTAGTGTGTTTTTTAAAAGATGATGCTTTGAATACAATGATGTATTGATCTTCATAACAAAAATGCTTGAATCCGTCATTTAAAGCTCTTTTTAACTTTTCTGCATCTTTCCACTCACGCCTCACTCCACCCCCTCCCATACCACGCCTGGGTCGTTTCCACGGACTGCTCGCTCCTCCCCTCGTGCCCAGTCCCTCTTTCATGCCACTTCCTTGCAGAAGACACACCAGAGCGCCCTGCAGGTGCAGCAGAAAGCCGAGGCCCTGCTCCAGGCTGGCCACTACGATGCGGAGGCCATCCGGGAATGTGCCGAGAAGGTGGCCCTGCACTGGCAGCAGCTCATGCTGAAGATGGAAGACCGGCTGAAGCTGGTCAATGCCTCGGTGGCCTTTTACAAAACCTCAGAGCAGGTGAGGGGAGAGTTGGGGGGGGGGGGGGCGCGTGGGGCCAAGGCTGACAATCTGCAGCAAGAAGCCAGGCCCCTCTCTCCTAAGCTCTGAGAGTAGGGGAACCGTTTGTGGACCACCACAGTCGGTTTCTTTGTCATCCTTTCCATCAAATGGGGGGACCCTTTGGATGTTTTGTTCTGTTGTGTTCTTAGAACATAAATGATTCAAACTCTTGCGATCTTTACTGAGGTATTGAAATAGAAATTGGGCCTTCCGGGATGCTAGATTTGAGGAGCAGTGTATCAGCCATTATGCTGATGATACTGTATAAAAAGCCACTCCCCAAACTCGGTAGTACAAAGCAGTGAGCATTTTTCTTTTCTATTTTTTTCACACAAGTACCTGTGGTTCAGCTGTCTAGACCAAGCCTGGCAGACAGGATCTAGATTTCTTCTAGGGCTTTCCTCCTCCTTGATCAGTAGTTATTGGAGGCAGGAGTGCAAGAGCCTAAAACCTACTGTGCTTGAAACCTGCATTCTCTTAACCTTCCATTGCCAAAGGAAGTCAGTGTCCAAAGCAGCATCAGGGAGGCAGGCAATACATGGCTCCTGAGAAGGCTGAAGGAGCTCTGGGGGGTAGTGGGCTGTACATTGGGCTGCTAACCGCAAGGTCAGCAGTTTAAACCTACCAGCCGCTCTGCAGGAGAAAGACAAGGCTTTCTATTCCGGTAGAGTTGCTGTCTCAGACATCCAGTGGGACAGTTCCAAGCTGCCCTAGAGGGTCTGAGTCAGAACTGACTCACGGGCAAAGTTTGGTTTTGAGTTTTCTGAAGGCCGGAAGAGGAGGGGGTGCATTTGCTTGAAACACACACCTCTTTGCCTCATGGGTCTCCATCTAATGAAGGAGACTCTGCTCTGGGTCTTTGGGGAACTCGGAGCCTCGCCATCGGAGGGATGGTGCTGTGGGGAGAGAACAGGCGTACCGCAAAGCCAGGAAGGTGCAGACTCATTGCCATGGTGTCTGCTCAGTAAGTTGCACCAGGCCTTGTGTAAGAGGATCTTCTAAATGATTGGGGTGCTATTTGGGAACTTGGGGTTTAAAGCTGCCGTCAATCATTTTATAGTGTGAAATGGTTTGCTCATGTGCATTGCTCCCTGGTAGAGAATGATCAGAGAAACCTGTTTCTCCAAAGTGATTAATTGGGACCATGGGAAAGCCTAGCCTCAGAGCAAATATAAAAGGCCCTGCAGCCAGGGTTACAGGCTCTGCACCCTCTCCCAGTGTGCTCTGGGGTTACTTGCTTGGATATGGCAACAGGGAAGAGCTCTCTCTCTCTCTCTCTCTCTCTCTCTCTCTCTCTCTCTCTCTCTCTCTCTCTCTCTCTCTGTTGTTTCAGAGAGATGGCATCACAGAAGTGGGCGCAGCAGCCCAAGATGCTAAAGGCTCTCTTAGCTGTTCTGTATATTCAGCACAATTCTGATCAAATCCCAGGAAACTAACTTTTATCAAGAAAATTAACTGATTGTAAGGTTTACATGGAAATGCAAACAACCCTAGAATAACCAAATAATCTTGAAAAAAAAGAACAACATTGTAGAAGTTATACTAACTGATTTTTAAAACATGCTGAAGCTACACTATCAAGACAAATCACGTTGGAGTAAGTGTAGACACATCGATTAGTAGAACAGGCTCGAATGCAGATTACAATTGCCATATGTCATCTACTGAGTTCTCACAAAGCAATTAATTCAATGGGAAAAGGAGTCTTTTCAACAAATAAATTTTCATATGGGGAAAAGGAAGCTTAGTCCCTCTCTAATAGCAAACAGATATGTTCCTTTGGGTCTAGATGCTTATGGGGACAGTGCATTGATTAAGGGTGAGAAACTTTGACCCCGAACTGACTTTGTTCAAGGTTATTATTACCTTTTCTAGATTTGGGTTCCTTGTTAAATTCAAGAATTCCTACTTAATAATCTTTTGAGTTCTTCTACCCGCTACGTGTATTGGCTTTAATCATAGTGCTGTGATAGAGCAGGTCTCCAGTCCTCTTTTGTCTTACAATGTTCTCTATCTATTGCCCTGTCTTATCGCAAGACCTGAGCCTTTCTGCAAATTTCCGTGCCTTGAATAAAGGGAGGTGCGTGCAGGCCTAGAGATGGGCCTGGTGAAATCAGCTAGAGTGTGGGGACAGCCCTCTCTGGCATGAGAAGCATGTCTGGACTGAGTGTGCCTGGGACATGGTGCAGACCACATTGAAGGCTGGCTCATCACTCAGTAAGCATCCTTCCCAAGCCAGGCCCTTCATCGAATGGGATGACACTCCCAGACCACGATGGCCAAGGGTAGAGTTGAAGCCATTCTCCCCTGCTTTCAGAGCCAAGCAAGGTATCAAAATCCACTTGAAGACACCTAAGTGAGGATGGGTTTATATTTTAGGGATCAGTGTCCTTGGTCCTGGGTTGCCCTGAGTCGCAAACTGTGGTACCCAGCGTAACTTGTCCTTCCGCAAATTGTCTTTGCCAAGCTTAAGTGGTTTTGTGAGGTCATGGATCAGGTTGCTTAGCAGCACCTCTCAGCAGTTGAGAACGGGAAAACTTCCCAGCTGTCTTTTCTCACTACCACCAAGTCAATCCTGACTCATAGTGAACCTGCAGGACAGAGTAGAACTGCGCCTGTGGGTTTCTGAGACTCACTCTTTGCAGGAGAGGAAAGCACCATTTTCCTCCAGAGGAGCATCTGCTGGTTCCTAACTGCTTCCTTTGGGTTAGCCTCATGTGGAACCACTGTGCCACCATGGGTCCTAACTGTCTTTTAGGTTAACCCAAATTTGTTAGCCCTCTGAAAGAAATGTGTATTTTGTGATAGAAGGCCTGTAACTGGCATGGCCTTGTGACATTTTTGCTGGGGTATTTTTTTTCCCCCAGTAGTGGGGAAAATGATGTCATTGATGGCCCACAAGTCACCCCCCAGAGGCAATGCTCTTCCTTCCCTTTGCCTGAGGATACCCACTGCAAGGCAAGCACAGAGGATTAGACAAGGCCCGGATCTTCTCCCCTTCAGTTTCTGTTCTACCCAATCCGCAGGATTACGGGGAGGTTATAACAGTGGCACCCAAAAATATCAGTTTCCCCTCCCCCCCTCTCTACCTCCTTCCAGGCTGATTGACTGACTGCATCTTTTCCTCCCTGGTTCGTTAGGTGTGTAGTGTCTTGGAAAGCTTGGAGCAAGAGTACCGGAGGGATGAGGACTGGTGCGGCGGACGAGATAAACTGGGCCCGGCAGCAGAGATCGACCACGTCATTCCTCTCATCAGCAAACATTTGGAACAAAAGGAGGCCTTTCTGAAGGTCAAAGCACATTGCCACCCACAGTCTTGAACTCTCCTGTCTTGTGGGTTCATTCACCTTCTCTCTCTTGCCCCTTGACTCCTGCCTCCTTGTCTCCCATTGATATGTTCTCTATGGGACCACCTATTTGTGCGTGGTTTGTGTTCAGTGTTTCATTGAACATGTAATTACCATCAGAGCAAAGTAATGCTCTTTAGAGAAATTCAGAAAATACACAGCCTTGAGAAAAACTAGCCATAGTGTCAGTTTCGGGGGGCCTCAGTCTCCCCCATGCGTACAAGGAGCGTTTCACCGGCCCATTCTGCACTCGCAGCTAATGTGAGTCTTAAGGGATGTATGATAATGGCTCTTCTTCCACCACGTCTATCAGGACCTCCCAGCAGTAGGATGTCTGTTAGTGCTGTGGAGGTGAGAGTAGATTTCATGGGCAAATAGGATTGGAAAATGTTGATCATTTTCATCTAGATTTTGAGTCATATGCTCAGATTATTTGTTTTTCAAATTTACTTGCTGGAGTCTAAATTAAACGCCTGTTGAAGTGAGATTGTGTTCCCTGGGCTCAGCTGAGTGGCCATCAGAGAGGCATTGTCGGGGCACAGGGACACCTGCCTGACAGGGAATGTTGAGAAAGCCTAATTCACATATAAGTCGCCAAGGATGACTGCCTTATTTGTATCCCAGGTGGAAAAGGTGAGCCATAAGAAGTAGTGCTTCATTTGATAACTCGAAGGCTCTAAGGGGGAGCCATCCAAATTGACCAGAAATGACCTCCAGAGCTCCTCTCCCCCTAACTAGAAAAAAAACAAACCCCACTGACATCTAGTTATTCCTGACTCATAGAGACCCTATATAGGATATCCAAGACTGTCAATCTCCATGGAGCAGACAGCCTCATCTTTCTCCTATGGAGTGGCTGATGGGTGTGAACCATGGACCTTGAGGTTAGCAATCCAGTTTCTAACCCACAGTACCGGCAGGGCTCCTTTCTTCTCACCCAGAGCTGCAGAACGCTCACCACCACAAGCGAGCACCCTGTGAGCACCCTCCAAAGGTGGGAAAAGGGCAAACTATCTGGCATCTCCAAATCCCTGCAGACAGAACTTGGACGGGTGGTCTCACGCCCTTGTCTGTTTTAGGCCTGCACCCTGGCGCGGCGGAACGCGGAGGTCTTTCTCAAGTACATCCACAGGAACAACGTCAGCATGCCCAGTGTCGCCAGCCATACCCGAGGGCCTGAGCAGCAAGTCAAAGGTCAGTGGGAGACCGGCCAGGTCACTGGTCACTACCGCAGCATAGAACAGAAGCCCCACCCTTCCCACCTTCCCCAAATTTCCTTTTTCTTCTCTGTAGAGAAGAGCAAGTGATGTGGGGTGGAGGAGGCAGCGGTGAGTCACGGTCAATCTGTTGCTGTGCATCAAAATGTAGAATGGAAGGGAGGAGCCTAAGCTGTCCCCAGAGCTTCTGGCATCTAGGGCTGTAATGGTGTGGGATAGAATTTTCTAAGATAATGGAACTGTTCTGTGTGGACATTGCAATACCTGTAGACATAGGTAGTTACTGAGGAGCTAGATTTTCATTTGTATTTTAATGGTAATTAAGGACCATATGTACTTGAGTATAAGCTATCAGCTGCGGCACCTAATTTTACCACAAAAACTGCATTAAAAATGTGCTGAAACACTCAGCTTCTACAGGACTATACACAGTACATTTAAATGTTAGAAAGAAAGTCCTGGCAGACCTGCTCTTCAAAATCAGCCAGCGCGTCACAGCAGCCCAGCCTCCGTCCACGCTCAGGGGGGTGCCGGACTGGGTGGGGTCTAGTTCTGTTCGGCCAGGTGTCTGTGAATTGGAGCCCAACTCAGTGGCAGTTGACAATCATCTCCATGCGAGCAATCGGAAGTGGCCAATGACTGCCGCGTTGAACAGCACAGGGCGAAGGCATCTGGTGGCCAAATCATCCGACCCAGTTCTAAGCCTGGCTCTGCCACTTACTGCTGCCCTCCTGAGAAAGTCGCCATGCCCAGTGCTGGCTCTGCCGTCTGCACGCGTCCGGTGGAGAGGCTTTGAAGGCCTCCGTTACGGGAGGACTGGCTGGGGGGCTGGAGCCGGGGGTGTTTGGTTGCATTTGTTCAGAGCCGTCCCGTGACCAGCGCTGCCCCTCTGCCCTGCAGCCATCTTGAGTGAGCTCTTGCAGAGGGAGAACCGAGTCCTGCACTTCTGGACCTTGAAGAAGCGGCGGTTAGACCAGTGTCAACAATACGTGGTGTTTGAACGCAGTGCCAAGCAGGTACGTCCAGAGCTTTCCTTGGCTTTGCCTTGCTTCTGGGAGTGAACAGAGGCCCCAGTGACCAAGGCGTGGGGCAGTCCAGACGGGAGCCCAGCAGCAGGCAGAGCGGACATGGGATGTGTGGGTGGAGAGAAGAACGAGGGCAAAGGTTGTCATCCTGCACGCGGCTTTTACCAAACCCTCTGTTCAGAGTGGGAGCCCAGAGGTTGTGAGAAGATGTCGGAGGCCATTGTCCTGAACTTGTGGGTGGGACGGTGGCTGGCCTCGAAAGTCCCTAGTCTGATGGAGGAGACGCGCTCTGCTGCCGGATGTCCCAAATCTAGCGACTCCTTTATAGATTGTTTCAGAGTCGCTTCCCAGTCACATTGTGTCAACAGTCCCTAGATCCACCATGCTGTCCCAAGCCACAAGCCTTTGTGGTAGCGTGGTTTGTCTCCGTACTGCCCTCTGACCTTGGGGACTGAGTGTCTCATGTTCTTCCCCCACAGGCCCTGGACTGGATCCAAGAAACAGGTGAATATTACCTCTCAACACATACCTCCACCGGAGAGACCGCTGAGGAGACTCAGGAACTGCTGAAAGAATATGGGGAATTCAGGGTGCCTGCCAAGGTAGGAGATGTTCAGAGCCCCTTCCCCAACCCAGCCAGCCCCGCCCCCCACCCCCACACTCTGTCCAACTTGACATCAGAGAAAGGAGAGCAGTCATGCAGGAAGCTAAGGCAAGGGGAAAGAACGTTAAGCATTCGCCTTTGAGGCCTTAATTATCCAAAGAATGCAGCTGCTGGATAGAACAACTCTGTGCAGGAACTCCACTCCTCGATACTGCACGACCGAATACGCACCTTCCTGCTCAAGGCGCTGAAATCTTCTGCAGTCTGGACCACCCACTAACTCAAAGGGCTGTGTCCATGCCCAGGTGCATGTGTGTGCTGATTTGGGCACCTACCAATGCATTCCTGAAATCGGAGCGGCAGAGGGTGCCCACCCACTAGAAAGTTCAGTAACTGTGTGTGTGTTGGGGTGGGGATGGATTCACAAAGCAGATGACGCTCTGTTCTCCTAAGCTGACTGATTCTATTGCCCTCAGGCCTGCTAGTGAGCTAAGTAAGCAAATTGTACATGTGTGGGCACACACATGCACACACACTCACACTCTGGTTGACCCTGAGTGGGAGAATGCACTAGTGGGTGGAAAATCTGATTTGCCTCCAGTTTAACAGTCAGACTTTGATCATCTGGATGAGCCTTGACTCTGAATGGCACTCTGAGCTGCCCAGCTCCTTCTGTGGCTCACCTGGGCTCCCTGCCACGGGGTGGCCTTTCTTGACCTCACCTCCACCCGTGGCAGATATTACCCCCGCCGTGCCAGAGGCTTTTGTGTGGGTGAGGAGACAACAGGTGAATGCTCACACTACCTAGAGACCCCCCTGCCACTCGAGGGACTGACGGTGCCAGAATTAAGCCTTCGCTTCTTTCTTGAGCTGGTAGTTCCAACGTGGTTCTCGACTTTGGGACTCCCGTGCTATGAGCTCTAGATAGGGAAGGCCCATCGCCTGCGTCCTTGTGAACATTTGGACCGTTTTCATCTGTTGTCAATAGCTGTGAGTTCAGTACCAGCTGCAACCAGCAGTGCCAAGAAGGTGGTAAGTGCACAGGCTCCTTTCAGAACCCAGTGAGAGGGACTTTTGACTGACCCGCGGCTGGTTGATCCGTCCTCTCGCCTAGTGTCTAGAACGAACAGGCTGAGAATGTCAGAGCCTCCGAGAATGGGCCGCAGCAGACACTTTGGACTTCGTAGGATCTCAATGTGCCCTCACCCAAAGCTGAAATGTGGGAAATAATTTGATGTTATGCATCCATCTTTATAGCTTTCTCCTCTCACCCATTTGCATCGTTAGCGCCCTGGGATGTAGTAGCTTCCTAATTCAGTTCCATGCTTCTGGCCTGCTCTTCCTTCCCGTCTGTTCCGTTCTTCCTCCCGGTTCATCAGAAAAGACTGCCTGAATCATAAGGCCACTCAGCCCAAGAGCAGCAGAGACTCTCCCCTGGAGTCAGGCCAACACTCAGCTTCTCCATGTGCACCCCTGCCTCCCGAGCAGTACCTTCACTTGTTCTTGGGTGTCAAGTTCACGCTGCAGCAGAACGGGTGTACTTGCTTACTCCCTGAGAGACAAATCACGGGCTTTGCGTCTCTGTGCCTTTGTGGACCGTTCCTCTGGCTAGAATCCTCTACGCTTCCTGCCGGTTCTTGGCTCTTTCTTCCTCAGTGCCGCCTCCTCCTCTGTCATGCTGCCTAAAAGCAAGGAAATGACCTGTCCCATCCCTGCCCCATGGCCCTGGGGTCTGCATGACATGTTCGGCAGCTGGCAGGGACGCTCCCGTGCTCCAGTCACCCGTGTGCTGTGCCGTCTCCTGTACAAGCCAGTCAGTCCTGAAGGACAGGAAGCATTCTTCATTCATCCTCTTGGCCCCGGACTCTAGCCGCTGTGCTGTGAGCATAAGGGGAATAGAGGAGCTGGGACATTTCAACACCTACTCCCAAATCTATATTTAAAATGCTGCTTGTACTTTAGCTCCATAAGTTCTTGCTCTCAATTTAACTACCGTATTGACTCGTGTTTAAGCCAAGTTTTTCAGCACATTTTAAATGCAGTTTTTGTGGTAAAATTAGGTGCCTTGGCTGGTATTCAGGTCAGCGTATACTCGAGTATGTATGGTATATCTGTCAGCAGATTATCACTCTCCCATCACTCAGATTCCAAATCTCTGGATTATTTGTCATTAAAAAAAAAAATCTATAGGCTAACAGAACTAGGTGAAGAGCTGCTAGGGCCTAACAGCACCCCCCTGTCCCCACTGCCCCACTTCTCAGGCTCAGATCTCATCCAACCAGGCCCCTCTGGTCTTAACCTTTATAGCCAATAAGACGGACTTGAATTGGAAACAAAATTGTCCTCGTTGGATCATGAGAGAATAAATGGCATGGCTCGAGACTGAATACTAAACCCTGAGTTACAAAACAAGTGAAATAGAAGAAATGCTGAATATGAAAAGCTGCTGTCTCTAGAAATCCACTTATGTGTAAGACTCACAGTAAGATAGAGGCCGTTTACGTGAGGCTGAGAGGGAAAGCAACGTCTCCTTGTGCCTCGCTGCACACACGTGTGGGAGAGCACAAACGAGGTCTTGTGAGTGTGAGTTTCAGAATTCTCAAGGGGGTACTCGATGAAAGGAAATCTTCATCATTTTGGCATCTGGAGAAACTTCTAAAAGCAACCTGTCTTTGTTTTTATGATATTTTTCATCAGTTTTTTGTTTTTTGTTTTTCATAAATCGGGGGGTTAGTACGTAAGACTGTGCTGCAGCTATCACCACTGGCTAACTCCAGGACATTTCGTCACCCTGAAGAAACCCCAGCTCGCCCTTTTCTCAGCCCTGACTGTCCCTAATCTGCCTTCTCTCTATGACTTGGCTCGTTCGGGGCACTTCCTGTCAATGGAATCCCACAAGACGTGGCCCGTCATCCCTGGCTTCTTCTGTGTTTCGTCATGTTTCCCAGGTTCATAGCAGGCCTCCAAACCTATGACTGAAGAGTCTTCCATCAATAGATAGACTGGATTTTTGTTTCCCTCTCATCAGTTGATGAATATTTGTTTCTAATCCGGGGCGATCATGAACAATATTGTGGACATTCGTATCCAGTAAGTCTTGGTGTGAATAAATGTTTCTGATTCTCTTTGGCAGACGCCTAGTAGGAGGGTGGCCATCTGGCCCCCCTGTTTAACTTTCGGAGGGGCCATCTAGTTATCTTCCACAGTGAGGCCGCCAGTTTACAATGCTAGCAGCAACCATCCGAGGGCTCCAATTCCCCCACGTCCTCTCCAACACTTAAATGTCTGTTTCTTTGAATACGGCCATCCTACCACCACCTCCAGTCGCCACCAGTCGGCTCCTACCCATGGTGGCCCCTGTAGGTCAGAATAAAGATGGTTTCTCACTGTGATTTTGATGGGCTCTTCCCTAGTGATGAATGATCATGAGAAAACATGGTGAGCTCCCAGTGGCCCTTGCTAGTTCATGGGCCAGATTTATCATCGATATGTCCCCAATCTAAATCCTCAGCTCTTATTGGTCTAGCTCCAAGAAGCAAACCCCGAAACACAAGACCGACTCATTCATCCGCTCATCTATCCAACATCTATGACAGGCCTGCTGTTTTCTCGAACTTGAGGTATACAAATGAACAAGGTCTAACGCTCTCAGGAGCTCGCAGCTCACTGAAGAGCCTCTAGGAATAACTTGATAGGCTGCATGCGCAAAGGAAGGCTCGGTCTGTCTGTGGAGCACTCGGAGGTTAGCACCCATTTGTCTGGGGCAGGAGAGGAGAGAGGGCCACTGGATTTAAGAGTTGGGGGTGCGTGGGAGCCCCTCACCCCGGGAAGTTTGGCATGACGAGTCTAGGGCCGTGGAGGCAAGGAGTGGAGACGGGGTTGCCGTCACAGAGGTAGGTGCAGCCACATGGAGAAGAGTTGTCTGTATCAGGGTTCGGCAAACTTTTGAGACACAAGAGCCAATCCTGTCCCTCACAACAATTTAAAAATTACTCAGCAGGCATCAACACATTTTTACAAACAAATAGAATCATCATGATCTGAATCATAGCCTTTAAAATGTCTCAGCTTTACTTCAGAGCCACACGTAGGGACCGAAAGGGCTGTCCAGGGCTGGAGAGCCGCAGTTGGCCGACCCTGGGGTAGACAGTCTGATCTGCTGCGTGCTTCCCTAGGCGCCACATGCACCCAGGATGCTCTTGGTTGTGAAGCATCTTCCCGGCTGACTGCATCCCAGGTTTGAAACTGTGGGATACGATGTCCTCTGGTATGATGGCTGCCCTACAAGGCCGCTGCTGCCACCATCTGACTGTTAGATGCCATCTCGCAGGGGACAGCATCATGCTAAAGACCTCAACAACAACAAAATAACTCACTGCCACTGAGTCGGTGTCCTGGTGACCCCATGAAGCAGGCTAGAACTGCCCCTGTGGCAAGTTGCCCAGCCTTTTACATTAGGGGAAAAAAAGATTTTAAAAATGATAACTACAAAAAATTATGCTATTTTACGTAAGTAAGAGGTCTTTAAAGAAAGATATGTATAAATAAAGCGTCGTCCATGGAAAACAAAGCACACAGAATCCTTCGGGTAGCTATGCAAGTCGCCTGACCAGTTGCCAATACTGTTATTTTCGCCTTCTTCCTTCATGAAGCCAGTTCCTGACTGAGAAGCTGTTCCTCCTGCCCTCCCACCAGGCTCCTTCCCTTGATATCGAAGCCCCCCAGCTCTGGTCCTCAGGTGCAGGAGGCTCAGTCTCCTCACTGTGGGGCCTGCAGAGCCCTCTGCTGTCTCTCCAGCAGGAAGCCAAGCCGCGTCTCCGGCAGAAACCCTCCTGGGAGGAGCTGCAGATGAGCCTGGGCAGGGAAGGGAGGGAGGGAGAGCAAGAGCCTTCTCCTCGGTCTTGTCTCCTTTCTGCCCGTGACTGTCCCCCTCCGCTGTCCAGACTGGACGCACGGCAAAAGCCTGGAATGTGCTCTCCCCAGCTCAGAAGAAGTCTTCTCAGAGTATTGAAATGTTCTTTCCTTAAAATCTCGTAGACGTCCCCGATAGAGTCACAACGTCAAAATCCAGAGGTGAACAATAGCGGGCAAAAGCCTGGAATGTGCTCTCCCCAGCTCAGAAGAAGTCTTCTCAGAATAGTATTGAAATGTTCTTTCCTTAAAATCTCGTAGACGTCCCCGATAGAGTCACAACGTCAAAATCCAGAGGCGAACAACAGCTTACGTGTTTCAGTGCCCTTTCCATGCCCATGTCGCACCCAAGGCAGTTCCGCCTCCTCTCCAAGCCCTTCCTGCCCGTGCCAGCCCGCCTGCATCCTCTGTCTGAACATTCCTGCCGGGTGCACTGTATACACGCTTCCATGCTAGCATGCATGCAATTACAGCCCGCCTTCAGTGATTTAATCAGTCGCTGTGAATCCTGGTCCCCTCTGGAGATTATGTATGGGGGGACGCCGGGGAATAATATTTCTTCTTCTTCTTTTGTTTACCCCCCAGGCACATCCCCATAGGCCTTGCACACAGTGCTGTGGGCAGAGTCCGTTTTGAACAGATTCTTGCTAGTAATGCCATTAACCCAATACCTGCCAGAGCTACCCCTGACTTAGCCATCATTAACCCTTTATGTGTAGTCTCTCATGGAAACTACACAAGGTCATGGTGGCAAAACTGACAGCTCATTACTCTTAAATCTCATTAGGTTTCTTTAGATCCCGCTGTAGTCCACTGACATGATGTTCAGCAAGCCTTCCCTCTGGCTGGTGCAGTGCAGGGAAAGAAGGAAGAGCTAAGGCTCCAAGCAAGCCCACTTTGCCCTCTGCCCCTGCTGCCCGTGGGAGCCTGGACCAGGCCTGAATCTCCCTAAGCCTCAGTTTGGTCGTGTGGGATTGAAAGAGACCGTCACCACCTACCTTCTTCCTGCCTCAAAGGGATGTTTTGTCATTCACATGATCTTCAAATGTGACATGAACATGCTCTGGGAACTGATAAAGTACCGCATTAATTCAAGGGGTTCTCATTTGCACCACATCAATCACCACAAAATAGTAATAGTCATAGTGGCAGAGATCCGTCACCATGTGTTCCAGTTAGTTGGCATGACCACCTCCCTTCATGCACACCACATCCCTATGGCTCAGAAACTAGTATTCACAGATGAAGGAGCCAAAGCACAGAGTCGAAGTACATTGCTCAAGATCTCCCAGCTAGCCCGAGACAGAGCCAGGACACAGACCCTGGCCATGTAGCTGCGAGAGAGCTCTCTGGCGGCTGTGAAAGGGGGCTGGGAGGAAGGGACATGAGAGTCCATGTAATCTAATGACCCGAGATTGTCTTTTGGGGCAGCAAACCAAGGAGAAGGTGAAGCTTCTGATCCAGCTGGCGGATAGCTTTGTGGAAAAGGGCCATATTCATGCCACGGAGATCAGGAAATGGGTGACCACGGTGGACAAGCACTATAGGGACTTCTCCTTGCGGATGGGCAAGTACCGGTACTCTCTGGAGAAAGCCCTCGGAGTCAACACAGAGGTACGTGTGGAGGCCTGCCCAGCACTGCCCTCGTCACCGCACGAGAAGGCACTTGGTTGGCCTGGGCCCTGCCGGCGGTTACCGGGCCATCTTAGGAGCCGTTTCCCTCTCAGGCATTTGCCTCGCCTGGCTCTTCTAGTGGAGGCATCGGGCCAGCTGAGCCAATCCCCTCCCGTCCCTTGTAACGAGTGCTCTGCTCTCCAGAAAAACAAACTCACTGCCATCGAGTCGGCTCCGACTCCTAGCGACCCGGAGAATGAGGTAGGGCCGCCCCTGTGGGGCTCAGAGGCTGTGGCTCTTTACAGGCGTAGGAAGCCTCCTCTTTCTCACATGATATCTACGTACATTACAAAACAGGCATCTAGGAGTGGGACCTCTTACGGCAAAGAGTTCTGCTCTGTGCAGTGTGGGCTGTCGCCTTTGAAGACTAAATCCTTTGTCTGGGGATCATCGGTACATCTTCTAGCCAACGGGGTTAATCAGCCAATGATTAGAATCCCTTGTATATAATAATAGTGCCCTTTCTAGAATAGGGGGTGTAATTTGTGCAAAGACTTTTTGACGTTTCAACTGAAAAGGGAGTATTATTTGCTAAAACACATGGGAAGATTGACTTTTAATCTCTTCTTTATAATAGGGGCCAGTGACCTATGAAGCAAAAGCTAAATACAGTCTGGCAATTTAATCCTAGGATTTCTCATTCTTAAATCTTTAAAGAGGCTCATGCTCCGCAGCAGGGTAGCCTGGAGAGTAACATGATCCACCCACGGAGAGCCGAGGCCATTCAGGGCCCCTCAGCTTGGCTCTGTGCACAACGTCTCTTCCCGGAAGCTGCTGTCATCTAAGCAGACAAGTGATGGCAGAACTAAGCAAGGCGAAGCCATTGGAAAAGTTCATCATGGTTTCGTCATTTAGCTTTCTATGCCCAAGGGAGTTGCTTATTTTAATCAGAATGTTTTTGCCTTATTGGTTTTCCCTAGACAAAGGAAAGTTTTCCCTTTGTGTATTTCTTCTGTTGCACATCTAATTCAGCGGTGACAGATCAATGAACTGATTTGTGAGGCTGTGTGTTTGGTTTGAATCAGAACCAAAGGCCTTGGGGAAGTAAACACATCATTATCAAATGTGCTCCTTGTTTGTTTTTTCCTGCTGTGGGTATTAGCGCCACACATTTGACCCTATGGGTCTGGCCTAGCTGAAAAGAAAGACGTATGTGGGAAGCAGAGTGAGTGTGCATATCAATACTGGAGTCCTCTCCCATCTTCTCCGCCCTCCCAGCCATCATGTATTTGCACCATCCCCAAGGTGACCCGTCTGTCTGATCTCTTCGTGTATAGGACAACAAGGACCTGGAGCTGGACATCATCCCAGCAAGCCTTTCCGATCGTGAGGTCAAACTGCGGGATGCCAACCACGAGATCAACGAGGAGAAGCGGAAGTCAGCCCGGAAAAAAGAGTAGGTGTTTGGCGGCAGGCTCCTTGTGACTCTGCTTAGTTCTCGCTGCCGTCTGTCCCTCGGACAGGCTCGGAACCGCCTGCCGGAACCGCCTGCCAGCCTAGGTTTGGGGTGGACAGGCATGAATTCCTGTCGAGTGGACGGATCCACTGTGAAGACATGTACATGTCTCCCAGTCTCTCTCGACGTGCCACTCTTGTCATAAAGAAAATCTTCCTCTTTAATCATTAAAGTTCGTGTCACACTCTCAAAACAACACAGATCAAACCAAATGTCTCGGCCTCCCCCAAATTGAGTTCCCTTTCCCGTCAATGATTGCCACCAGCCTTGTCGGTTCCCAGCCTAGAGTCTTGAAGTGAGCTCAAACTCTCCCTTTGACATCTCGTGGCCCATCCGTCACCAGTTGGGGTCCAATGTTAACTTCAGTTTCTCTCATCTCAGCCCGCATCCCCAGATGTCTGGATTCTTTCAAAACCTTCCCTGACTCCCTTTCTAAACCATCCCTGACTCCCTTGTTCCCAATCCATGCCTAGTTTCCCAGTGAGACCGACTTTGCTTTCTGAAGTGACATTTCAGTATTGCTAATCCTGTTTCTACCACCACCAGCACCAACGCCTACATGGTTGTTGGGGGGTAATCTCACAGAGTAGTTAGTGGGTTTGAACTGCTGGCCTTTCGGTTAGCAGCCCAATGCTAACCCCACAGCAGCAACAGGGCTCTGCCACTGATCCCAGGTACTTATTATTATTATGCGGAGGAGAAGTAGACTTGGAAAGACTAAGCAACTTGTCCTAAACCACACGACAATGGAAAGTAATGGAGCCGGCATTCAAACCTAGGACTTGCCTGCCTCTTCACCATTATGAATAGTGTGACCTATTTCTATCACTCCTCTCCAGATTTGAAATGGCTTCCCACTTGCTCCAAGTCTGTATCATCTGGCCTTGCCTCACCCAATCTTAGATCACAGTAATTTTCCATCCCAGTGACGCACTTTGATGCACAAGGCTACCGGCAGGTCTGAAGAAGACATTGTGGGCATTCTCCATTCGGTGGTTGGAACCGGACCTGCCTTTTCTGTGTGCTCCCTGCCCTCTCTCCCTGCCCTCCTCTCCCAGTTCCTTTCTGGATCATTGCTTACTTTCTGTACTCTGCACCCCTGTCTAGTTTCATTCTCTCTCTTTCTGAATCCCAGAGATTCTGTAAAATCCAACTCATATCATACACACTGTCATTGGCCCTCCTTTCTGAACTCCATCTTTTCTATATGGTTTCATATTTTATATATTCAATTGATTCCTGAGCATCTCTTCTTGAGGGCAGGTGGTGTTTTGTGTCTCGTCTGAGCCAAGGGAATAAAAGAGTGCTCAAGATGCCCAAATTGATCCAGAAACACTGTAGCAAAATAATTAAATATGGAGACAAGGCCTGGAGGAGGGCAAGCAGTTCTCTAAAACCATGCTCCAAATCAGGAATCTATCTGGGACCAGACTGCCAGTGTTCTTATTGGAAGTTGAGGGGTTTACCTCCAGAACAGAAGAAAGTAAGGCAGGGCTCTGGGAGGTGCTCCAATACCAAATGGCCCCTCTCGGACTTAACTGAGTGTTCATATTTCAAAGGATCTTTCTGTGGTGCTGGTAAAGTAGGGACGTCGGACATTCTAGGAAGTTGCACATAAATGCTAGAGTAGGAGGAGTGAAGTTGGAGGAAGGGAGGTATGACAGCTATAACTAATGAAAACCCTTTTATTTCCTTCTAGGTTCATCATGGCTGAGCTGCTCCAGACAGAAAAGGCATATGTAAGGGACTTGCATGAGTGCATGGAGGTAAGGTTCGTGGTAACCAGTTCATAGCGGTCTCAGAAAGATGGCATCCTTGCCCTAGCTCAAAGACTCGAAAAGAGTCCAATTTTCTTTGCCTTCTCCCAGAGAGTAAGGAATAAAAAAAGGCAGCCTGAGAAAAGTCTTTCTCCCAAAGGCAACCATTGCTTTCTCCTAAAGTAATTTAAGCATGGGAGCTTCACGTGCTTTTGAGAAAGTTTGGTTTTTTAATCAGATGATGCTATACCCAGCCAAAAAAATAAGACATATATATGTGAGTGTGTGTATATGTATGTATATATACGCGCATGCACACACATGTGTATGGGTATATATGTTTACATATCTACATATATATGTTGTTTTTGTTGTTCTGTACCACTGAGTGGGCTAAAACCTGTAATGACCCTGTGCACAACTGAACGAAACACTGCATGGCCCGGCGACATCCACACACTTGTTCCTACGCCTGAGCCCATTGTTGCAGCCCCGATGTCAATCCATCTCATCCCGGGCCTTCCTCTTTTTCACTGTCCCAACTCTTTGCCAAGAAGGATGTCCTTCTCAGGGTCTGTCCTCTCCTGACGACATAGTCACAGTACGTAAGATGAAATCTTGCCATCCTTGCCTCTAAGGAGCACTGTGGCCGTACTTCTTCCAAAACAGACTGGTTTGACCTTTTAGCAGCCCATGTTACTTTCAATATTCTTTTCCAGCGCCACAACTCAAATGCATCCATTCTTCTTTGGACTTTCTTTTTCAATGTCCAACTTTCACATGCATATGGGCCAATGGAAAATACCATGACTTGGGTTAGGTGCACTTCAGTTCTCAAAGTAGCATGCTTGCTTTGCAGTACTCTAAAAATGCCTTGTGCAGCTGGTTTACTTAATAAAACATGCCTTTTGGCATCTTGATTGCTGCTTCCATAACATTGATTGTGGATCCAAATTAAGACAAAATCCTTGACAACTTCAGCCTTTCCTCCTATTGGCCCACTTTGAGGATTGTGGTTTCCTACCTTGCGTTGTAACCCACACTGACGGCTGCCATCCACGATCGTCATCAGCAAGTGTTTCAAGTCCTCCTCACATGCAGCAAGCAAGGTGTGTCATCTGCATACCAGATTGTTAATAAGCCTTCCTCCAATCCAAATGCCACATTTGTGTCCATATAAGCCAGCTTCTCTGAGAATTTTCTGAGAATACAGATTGAATACGTATAGTGAGTGGATACAACCCTGATGCACACCTTTCCTGATTTTAAGCCATGCGTTATTCTCTTGTTCTGTTCACACAACTGACTCTTGATCCATATACAAGTTCCTCATGAGCACGATGAAGTGTTCTGGAATTCCCATTCTCTTCAAGGTTATCTATAGTTTATTATGATCCATCCAGTCCAATGCCTTTGCCTAGTCAATGAAACACAAGTAAATTTATTTCTGGTATTTTCTACATTGAGCCAAGATTTCTATCTGACATCAGCAATGATCTCCCTTGTTCCACGCTCTCGTGGATCCAGCATGAACTATTTCTGACAGTATACTGCTGCAATTATTATTGGATGATCTTCAGCAGATGTGTGTGTGTGTGTGTGTGTATATCACTTCTATTCAAAATAAAAAATTTGATACAGTCTTTGGCTCTAAATTGGGGCTGAAAATCTGTTCTCCACGTCCCTGCCACCCCCCACCTCCCCACACACACGTTTAATAAATAGCAAAATTGCATGGGGTTTGCACTCTTTATAAGGTTTAGTATGTAATTTACACAGCAATGCTTGGACAAAAGGGATATCAGCAAATTTTAGGAGGTTTGTGGAAAAATTAAGTTAACAAATAATGGAGTTTTAACAAAACTTTAGAAGACTTCTTATGTTCAGGTTTTTCTTGCCACTTTGCTTATTTAAAATCTCGGTATTTCCGCTCGTGCCACCTCAGTTTGAGGGGCTGTTGCTTTGCATGGGCTTCGATGACCTGTTTCTGTCTTGCAGACCTACCTTTGGGAAATGACCAGTGGCGTGGAGGAAATTCCCCCTGGGATCCTCAATAAAGAGCATATCATCTTTGGGAACATCCAGGAGATCTACGATTTTCATAACAAGTAGGTTGAGGGTGGGTCTCAGCAGAGCACATGTTGGGGTTATATATAGCAGACAACAGGGGTTCTCAAAAAAATGGATCAAAGCTGATTGGGAAATCTGACCGGGGAAGTTTCCACGCCTGTTCCCATCAGACTTCTTTCTCCCTCATTCACCTTTCTCTGCAATTCAAAATCCAACAAGGTATTCAGGTCCCTCCCCCATTCTCCTCAGGGACCCAAAGGGCACGATCTTCATCTTCCCCATCAGAACGCTCACCAGGCTTTGAAGAAATAATCTTATCTTCTCATTAGAGCTGGTGGGGAATGCTGACGTCAAAATTCATCCCTGGCTAACCATTCTACATTGTGGGAATTTAGTTTTAAATCCCAATTAGTTTTACTTCAATTCAAGAATTTTTGCATCAAAGTCTACCCTATAATTTCTACTCACAATAAAAATGGCATAAATAACCATCAGCGCCCCTAGTAGAACCCATTTCCTAATAGCTTAAAGAAGATATATCAATGGACATTCTATGTTTTCTTGAAATGAATGGAATCATTGAATCATAAAATCTTACCATCCGCCCCATGCAGAAATTAATTTAGAAATCTTTTGCACAGCACATGAGACAGCACGTTCTTTTGTTAACGGGGTGAGCAAGCACATTGCTTTGGTAAGTCACATAACCAACTAGTAGAAATAATGTAGTTTTCAAAATAGAAATAGAAGGGAATCTCGGGGCACAGGAGTACCATGATGATACGGAATAAAAGCCCAGCATTCTTTCAGGGCTGTGTTGCGCAGCTAAGGCCAGGAGGTAGATGTTCAGGGTTAAAGAACACAAATGTAGAGGAAGAACGAGAGGCAGGTTTGTCGAGGCTTTTATTGAAGTCAGTGGGCATGCTTGAGGTGAAGCAGTCAGTTTCAGAAACCCCTAAGGCAGCCAGGCAGCAGGTGTCGCAGCCAACCTGAAACAAAACTGGAGCAGCACTGTCCAAGAGACATTGTTGCAATGATAGGACCGTTCTCCACACTCAGTGCGGGAGCCATCAGCCATGCATCCGTGGCTGTGCCGCACTCTCCCTCACTGCCGTCAAGTCAGTGCAGACTCACAGAGACCCTATCGGACAGGCTACCACTGCCCCTGGGAGTCTCCAAGACTGTCAACGTTTTCAGGAGTAGAAAGTCCCAGCTTTCTCTTGCGGAGTGACGGGTGGTCTCGGACGGCCGACCTTGCAGGTCACAGCCCAGCCCGTCACCCGTGTGCATCCGGGGCTCCTCTGAGATGTGGCTAGTGCATCTGCATTTCCAGTGTTGGCAGAGTCACGTTCAAAGAGCCATAGTGGTCCGAACTGGCCATCGTGAGCAGCCCAGCTCTAACAAACGAGGCCTACGTGTCGTCCTGTGCTGAGAGTGACTAAGAGGCCAGCTAAAACTGTGTCTAAGAATCCTGGGGAAAGTCTAAATTAAGGATTCTGAGTCACGCTTCTCCTGGAAACTCCTGATCATTAGCCCCATGTCATGTCATCAAATTGCACCAGTTTTAAGAAAAGCACCTAAAATATGTAGCTCCCTTGACATGTTGACCTTGTCAGATTATTAGTATGGTACGTTCTTGAGTGGGGAGGCGGCTGACAACCACCTGATTTTCTGGGACACGCAGGAAAAGTTCCCAATCTTTTAAAAACTTTTTATTCTTGTTCCACAAATGCTGTTGATCTTCTCGTTATGTCTTTCAGAGGCGTTCAAACATCAAAATAGTCTCTCTTCATGCCTATTGTTAGTAAGATCCCAATAAAGCTACTTAAGATCCCAATAAAACTCCTCTCGACCGCTGCCCCCAGTGCTGTCTTCATCTGGGTCCTTAGCATTCCATCTCACCAGAAGATCTGAGAAGGCATCCAAGTGGTAAATAGTAAGCTCCTGTTGCTTTACCTTTATGATTTGTGAGCTCTGGGATTTAGCCAACCAGCCTCACTTTCCCGACATTCGTACCAAATCTGTGGAAATCTAGAGAGCACCGCAGAGACTCTCCAGAGCAGCTTCTTTCCACCCTGCCTCAAACCTGCTTTACTTCTGGGTCATTTGGTTCCAAGCCCTCAGTACTTCAGAACGTGGCACCATGGGCACCTATTGGGCTGCTGTCCACCAGGTCAGCAGTTTGAAACCTCTAGGGAGCCCTGCGTATATAGTGGTTTTACATGTTGGCCTGCCATCCACATGGTCAGCAGTTCGAAACCACCAGCAGCCCCTCAGGAGAAAGACTGGGCTTTCTACTCCTGTAAACAGTTACAGTCTCAGAAACCCGCAGGGGGTCGTCGTGAGTCAGCAGTGACTCAGTGGCAGTGAGTTTGGTTTGGTTTGGAGCTAGTCAGAGAGAAATACAAGGCTTTCTACTTTAATGTGTTACAGCCTCAGTAGATCTTCCCTGTCCTATGGGATCGCTCTGAGTCAGAATTGACTCTCAGTGAGCTTGGCTTTTAGTTTTAGTCGTTCAGAAACAGCAGGTACGAATCAAGACCTTCAGCATGTCATTTGATACCAACCACCTAAAATAATGCCAGAGAGAAAAATAAACAAAGTTCAAAGAACAAAAGATCAAAGCAGTCAAGAGCTGCTCAGGATTGGTACCAGCAACCCTATCCCACTGTAGGGCCTCATGCGTGATAGCTGTAATTGATAATTCTGTATGAAAAAGCGGGGACCTCTGCAATGCATTGAAAAGCCGTCCACCAACATGTAATACTGTTTTAAAGTACAACAACTTAAGGGATTATTGCCCCAAATTAAGCTGTATATTAATCCCCCAAAGTCCTAAGGAGGCTAAGGCTTTGCTTTATTTATATGCTCTCAGTTTGTGCTTTATAAGTTTTGATGGATGGAGAAACACAATACTTCTCAAACCTCTAGTAAATAAGACTCAGGAAGGCAGTTGACCAACTTTGAAAATACATGAATGGTGAACTCCATAAAAGACTGTCTTTCACTGCAGTTAGTAGTAAAACTTTTGGTAAATATTTGTGGATGGATGGTGAAGCAAAAATAGTATCCCACTTTGTAGGCTGAAGGTTATTGCCATCTAAGTCCTAATTTAACCTCTTGTTTGTGTGAGTCTTGATACAGGGAAAAACAATGAGATCTGTTGTTGTTGTTGTTATTGTTGTTGTTGTGTTGCTGCCCCCCTCCCCATGCCCACCAGTGAATCATTGCATTTCTAGGTGAAGGGGCTTCTTGGGAGTCCTAACAGGAACACCTGTCTGCTCTTCAGGAATACTTCACTGCCACGGCTGCTTTATACTCTACTAAACGTACAAAGTTCTTTTTTTATATACCAAGTGTTTCCAAAGTCATAGTTCAGTGTTATCTGATAAAGAACCACATTCCTGTCCATTCTGGAGCCTCACTCCGGCCATCTGCTCATGCTGCTTCTGAGAAGGGGACCAGGGAGGAGGGAAGAAAGGAATGTGGATTCAAGGAGAGAGAGCTTGAGAGTGGCACTGCCCGGATAACCGAAGGAGCCAAGTCTCTCGGGAAATGGAACATGAGGACCTAGAGCCTTAGACCAAGGGTTGATGGGGTGAATGTTTTCAATATCTCAGCCAGTTTGTACTGATCCTTTTCAATGGGGTCATTTTAAAAGATGGCAGCCAAGCTTTGTTTAGTGTGTGTAGGCATGAGTGCTTGTTGTCTGCCTCCAGGACCTTTGTAGTCATAGGTAAATATTGAATACGTTCATTTCCTAATGGGTTGGTTAATACAGAAATTCAGGGAAATCGTTGTTTACAATTTCCTCGAATTATTCGATGTTTAGCTTTGGTGAGGACAGCTATTTGTTTAAAATCCTCACTAGCTTCAGCTAGATCTCAGCTTCTCCCTTCATAGCTACACATCGTCCCTGACTTTGGATGGGGTTCTGTGGTGACAACACTGTCACGAGTTATTTCTGTAAAATAAACACTTCATTCGGTCCCCTAGTTTTCATTAGTATTGCCCTTTATTGTCTTTATAAACCTGAGCTGGTAATCAGTTGCCAAAAGATCAGCCACTGACAACCCTACAGAGCTCAACTCTACTCTGTAGCCCACAGGGTCTATCATGAGTTGAAATGAACAAGAATGAATAGATAAATAGACACATAGATGCTCATAATAAAATGCATATCCTAATATGAAATAAATAAATAAATTGAGAATTTTTTTTTAGTATATCACTATGGATGATACATTCTCATAGTTTGTCTTATTCAACTTTTTCTCCCTTCTCCTCCTCCACACTCTCCCCCTTTTTAAAAACTGCTGGTTGCCACAGTCTACAATGATGTGGGGACCCACTGAAACAGTGCGTTGATCAGTCTCTGCAGGTCAAGGACCTGGCTCCACTCAGTGGTGACAAGCATGAAGTGCAGGCTGAAAGGCCACCCTGCCAGGGGCTCTTCTTTCCTCATGCCTCGCCCACCCCCTCCCACACACCCTTTGCTATGGGACACATATTATCTACATAATGCATCATCACTATGACCCGATTCCATACACTTGCCCTGCACTAAATGCCTTTGGTATTCGTTGTATCCTATGTACAGAACTTGTAGAATGACTAAATGGGAAAACCTCGAAGAAACCTTCCAAGATAATCCTGTTTTATAAAATAATTAAAAACAACCTCATAATAAGCCAAGAACCTTCCAAGATAATCCCTTGCTTTATGAAAACGAGTCCATGGGCCAGCCAGACTAAAAGCAAGTCCTCACAATTGGGAGACGGAGGCATGAGATGAGGGACACGTATTGTGAACTTTCTTTGGTCCCAAAAGCCACACTGTATAAAACGACCGCTGACCTTCACAGCCCATCAGCAGGGCCCTAGACAAGGTGCTGCTGCTTTTTCCAGTAACCCGACATCATCGGTACTGATTACAGATATCAGGGAAGGCCTGAAACAAAATAGATGTTAAAAATCGAATGTGCACGTGTCAAAATGATGTTCACTACGGTTCCCACACTCGTTGCTTCAGGAGCCCTGGGGGTGTAGCCGGTGGGCTGCTACGTGTAAGGTCAGCAGTTCCAGACCACAGCCTTCTTCCAGAGAAAGACGGGCTTTCTACTCCTGAAAAGAGTTAGTCTCGGAAACTCACAGGGCCGTTCGGGGTCGCTCTGAGTGGCGATCACTCAATGACAGTGAGCTTGGTGGTGGTTGCTACCCAGCTGTGTAGCTCCGTGCCTTATGGCAAAGCAGCACATGAATGGACAGGGCCACCATGACATGCAAGGTGAATGTATTGTATTTGTTTTACTATAACAACTGGAATATAGGCGTCAATGGAGAAAATATGTTCATCATCTAATCACATAAATTTGAGAAAATTAGGAAATATTGGTAAAACATATTCCACCAGTCCCAATGCAGCCAGGGAGCTGAGAGTGGGGCAAGCTGTGTGGGCTCCGCCCTGGCCCACCTTTCTCAGCGTCTCTGACCATGGCTGGAGACTCTGGGGTGACGGGAAGGGACAGAGCCAGGTGATTCTCATCACAGCCGTGCGACTTGCCTGTGCCAAAACGGCTCTGTGCATAACCTAGTACCTTTCCCAAGTGCACGGCCGGAATCCTCATCGACTTCACAGCTGCCCCAGCCTGTTAACCAGCAGCCTCCGCCTCGTGTGAGCAGGCTGTGAACCTGTCCAGTCATTAATGGCTTCTTTGGGAATGATCTCAAACTTACTTGTAGCCCAGCAACATCCCAGATGATGGAAGCAGCGTCAGACTTCTGGAAAGTAAGTGAGCCTGGTACCTTTCTCCCTACCCGACCTCCAGTTTTATTTGGGCAGTATCCACTCCACTGCCTCTATTTCCCCCCTTGCCGTAGCTCCCCTGCCACCACCTCTAACCTTCCACACAGACATCAGATGTTCCTCTTAAATGCAGGTGTAAGAGGTGGGACAAGATTATGAGCGGCTTGGTTAAGGACACAGTTCCTTGTAGGCAGCAAAGCTAGAGAGCAAACCTGCCTGCAGACGAAATAAGGAGACGACTGAGGTCGCCTTCAGAATGGAGCTAGGTCTGTACTGTTTGATGGCAAAGCTCAGTAAGCAGTCTTATAAACAGAGCGCTAAAGGCGTCATTTCCCAGGACTCGAGACAAAGCAGAGCAGAGCATGTCCCGCAGAAAGTCACTGCCTAATACAGTCCGACACCGTCGTCTAGCGGACCCACGACAGTGCGTAGATCTTGACGCTTCTCTAAGAACTCCATTCGTTGCTGAAAGACTTCCAGACCCCCACACCCCTCAAAGCTTCAAGGACCGTCTCTGCTCATCCTTCCATATTGATGAGGCATTTGACTGAGATGGAGGAGGAGCGGGGAAAGCTGCCGTAGGACAGCGGAGGCGGACTGTGTCATGGTTTGTAGAGAATGTCGGGAGCTACTCTGCCTTCACATGAACTCATCATGTTCATTTGAAACAGACAGAATGGTATCAATCAAACTTACATCATCTCTCATCTTTTTAAGCTGAAAATTTTTTAAAAACGACAGAGTTGAATATCGCCACTTACCTTCAACAATTACATGGTGGTGGTGGTGAACCTGAGGATTTAGTACTCCTGGCACAAGTTAAATAATTGTCTTGCTTTTTTAATTGTTTAATTCCCACCTTTTCTCTTTTGATTAATGACAAAGAGACCATGTACGATATATCAGCTGTAAGCACACTACAATCTAATGCCAGTCTGTGGCCTGGCTGCCCTGGAATAACCTGGGGACTTTTCTTTAAAAATGCACACGCTGAGGTCCTCGCCCCAGAGGGTGTTGCCCAACCAAAGACGGGGGGCCAGCCACTAAGTTTGGTGTCTCCAAGGGTGATCTTTGGAAGAAAGTCTGCTATGCCCCCTCTCTCCCCCCCCCCAATGTACTATGCACAGAAAGATTTGGGAAGCACTGCCTGCTTACATGTATTTCAGAGATTTATAATGTATATCATCATATCATAAGAGTTTGGAAGTCCTAGAGTAAAGAAACCAGCTAAGTCCAGCAGTTCCCAAGTGTGCACAATTATGACCTTGGGATTCCCCTAAGACCTGCTGAGATGTGGTTTCAGGGAAGGTCACCTAATAGAGGTTTTCAGCAGGGAGTTGGTGGAGAGCAGGCCCTGAGCGCTCAATCTCCCAGAGTAGGAAAGGACGTGAGGTCCTCCTATTAATCAGAGGGTGTATGAGCTCCTAAAGACTGGAAACCACTGATCCTGGAGAACCGTGCTTATGCCGTGTCGACTGGGTGCCAGCAATCCCCCAAGGTCATTGTTGAAAGATGAGCAGAGTGAGGCGATGGAAGACACTTTGGGGCAGAGGATGAAGTCTGGTTCTCCAACTTGCACTTGTTGTGTGCAGACAGAGAGCGATGGCTGACACCCATGGAAGAGCATTTGCTGTGGGAACACGGTCCGATGCGTTCAAGTCATTTTAGAGAGTGTTTGTTTCTTTAGGCTTTTCCAACGGAACATCTTCCCATAGCTTTTTGGTAGCTGTAACCTCAAGAGGTCAAGGTGTGGCTGTACTTAACTTGCCAGAATGGTTAATATTAGATTTCCAGCGCTGTGTCTGACATCTGACTCCTTGATCAAATAGTTGGTTATCATTCCCCGCGTGCTTAAATTAACCTTCAGTGGCAGGGTCAATTGAGGTTGGTCATAAGACAAGGAAAGAGACTTTCTCCTGAGTCATTGTGGCTATCCTTGCAACGCAGAAAACAAAATCCAGTTTGAGGTCCTGTGTGGGATGTCATGATACAGGCTGCGGGAGCATTTCTTGGGCCTCGCCTGCCGGAGAGCCCACCCGCCAACCACAGAGCTGGAGTCAGAATACAAATGCTCACCGGGATGAAGTGATGCCGGGGTGCGAAGAAGAGGTTTCCTCCAGCCCTGTGCGTTTCTTCCAGGCACTGGGACCTCCAGAGTCTCCCCTCTCTCTCTTCCCCTTAGGTCCTGACAGCACCCTCTTCTTTAAAGCACTTCATATTCTGCCACTAGACCTTATGCTAGAACATCAGGTTCTCTTCCCCCAAATGGTCAAGCCATGCCCTACCCTTATGCCTCGGGACTGGCTTTCCACTCTGCGTCTTCACCCAGCTTTAGATTGAAGCTAGCCTGAGAAATGACCACGCAGAGCCTCTCAGCATCATCTGCAGAGCTACTGTGAAGACATCCCACATTCCGTTATTTTGTGTTCCTTGTGAAAGGGGCCCTATGGTATTCCAGCGAGGAAGAAAATAAACCCACATAGAGGTGTCTAAAAACATACATGTGTGTATACATATATAAATGTATATGTACATATATGGTGAGATAAATATATGTATAGGGTGATGAGCCAGATTGCTTCCCTTTGCAACAAGAATCATGCTTCCATTTGGGCCTTGAACAAAGTTTGGGCTGCAGTTATATCACACTGTATTATTTTTGCCCTGTTTCTGCTTTAGAAGTCACCTGCAATCCTTTTAAAAGAAATCATGAATTATGATCAGTAATTGATTTTTAGCACTATCATTGGCATTTCTAAAGCCCCAACTGCATTCTAATAGTTCCTCAGGCTACTCTACCCTCCTACACACTGTGGGAGAAAGATGATCATCACCAAACGGTGACTGTCCCATAGTCTAAATATTCTGTCCTCTACAGATTATCTTCCGCCGCTACAATGAAAACTTTTGTGTATCTATCATCTTGCACAATGTGGGTATCGCTGTAGGTAATTTCCAAAATGAGACTACAGAGGCAAAAGATAAACACATTTGTGCTATTGATATTGCACTTCCTGGCGATCCTACCAGTTTGCATTTCCATATATCTTTCCTCACAGCCTCCCCATTATTGCTTAGTAGAAAAATGCTGTGGTATATTTTAAAAGCAAACTCCATTCGAATGATGTTGGCTTATTAGAGTTTGTATTCCCTGAGCCTAAACCCACTCTCCATTTACCATATTAATGTGAAGTCAGTGCCTTCGGCCCTCACCTATCAACGTGGAAAGGAGCAATGGGGCAGATGTCCACATTGCCAAAGAGCCCAGCAGTCATGCAATTCAGCTTTGGAATATATTATGATTTTCCTCCCATTAGATTGGCTCAACTAATGACGTCTGCTGCATTAGGAAGACATTAAGCTGAACATACTTTTTTTTTTTCAGCACAGACTAACTATTGGTGGGTGAAAGTAAGCCAGACTTAGGAGGAGGCCAGTGTAGAAATCAAAACATTCCTACCTTATCCTCGGGATTATGGATGCTGTTTTATTTTGGTCTTTCTAGTATTTGCGTTCTCTTCTTAAAAAACACAGCAACTTTAACTCTACTTAGATTACTTGAGCAATAAAGAGGAATCCATAGTTGCTGGAAAAATTAAAGGTCCAACACATATACATATAATAATGTTTCATTAGTTTCGATCCAAGATGTACGAATTCATCGTCTCACATAACCTTTGATGGGATTGCTTTTGGTCTGTGAAAGCCACGCCATCATTCGCGCAGAGCGGAGCAGCGCGTGGAAGTACAGGATCCCTGCAGCCATGTGCGCTCCCCTGTGGTTCAAGCGGCACAGGGAGATCTGATTCAGCCTTTCTGTCTCTTTTGCAGCATCTTCCTCAAAGAGTTGGAGAAGTACGAGCAGCTGCCTGAGGATGTGGGACACTGCTTTGTGACCTGGGTAATGAACCCCAACCCCTCTCCTGTTCCATGCTTTCCAGGAGTGCCAACGGCACTGGAGACGCCATCTATTTAGTGCCAAACCCGAGGCTTGGCTGCACTGCCAGTCTGGCTTCAGGGTCCGGGGCTGTGGAGAGGGGCCATGCGTGGGCTAGGGAGCAGCAGTCCGTGGAGGAACTTTCATGGTGTCCGCCTTCCAACTTAAGGTCTCTAAGCTCTTCTAAACCTCTGAGGGCAAGGAAGTGGAACAAGACCACCCATTCTGGCAAAGGGACCACACCTGCTCCAGCCATGCGCTCTTTTTACAGGATGTGGGTGAGGGCGTTAGAACTTTGGGAAACCACCTAACCATACTCTCCCTCAACTGGGAAGAACACTCCTTGGGTCTCAGCGCCAATTCTATCCAACCAGATGAGTGTCCAGGCATTCTCTCTCGGTGTCATTGTCATGGACCAATTTAATGGGCTGAATCTGCCAGGTGGCTACATAAATTAAAACACCGGTCTCTGTTACTTGAGCTCAGCCTCAGAATTTCTCCAGAAAAGTCCACTTAGGACACGAAATACAACTAAACATGGACATTTCTCCCACCACCAGCACCAGGATGTATCATATTTAATAACTACCCCAGGCTAACTTCTGTTTAAAATGGGCTGGTGACATTCGAAAATGTCTTCATGCTTCAGAGATTGTGTTCTCAGCAGCCTATGGAGGGGGCTAGGCTTTGATCCTGTGTTGGATTTAAAAGATGGGAACACTTTTAGGAAGCTGACTAGCCCACTGACACATAATAAATACGACCACAACCTGTCCTCTAATTGAAGACCAGACGCCCAGAGAAAGTTTCTCTAATGAGAGCCTAATGTTGTTTCCTAGCATGCTCTCATTTTGTCCTAATGCATTTTACTTCTCTAAATACAAGGGCCCATGTTCAGCTCATATTGATACTGATAAAAGAAACGAATCCTTTGCAAAGTCAGGATACAGAAGAGCAAGATCAAATTGACCATGAAATAAGCACTGGGGAGGGTGGGGGCGCATGGCTCTCCCTTACAGGGAACCACCTGCACGATGCAGGATCACCTCTTCCAGATCACGAATGCTGCTCTGGGTGGTGTAACCACACCTGACTCACTGTCGTCTGGGCAGTTCTTTCTCGTCCATAGCAACCTGTAGGAGTTTCAAGGTCGTCATCTTTAAGGCAACAGACTGCCACATCTCTGTCCCATGGGGTGGCAGCTAGGTTCAACCCACCAGCCTTTCTCCCCTAAAATTGATTTCAGAAACTCCTCATTGATTGCACGAAGTGTGCACTTGTGGCCAAGAATCACCCCAAGGTGTCTTTCTTACATCTCACCATCATAGTGTGTGTGCACTTGCGGGGAACGCGTGAAACAAGAAGCTTGTAATCAAGTTTTGAAAGTCAGCTGTTAAGACCACAGAGATGGAGGCCCGGGCTCAACCCCTTTGTAAGTGTGGAAACCCAAAGTCCACTAACCATAATGAAGAAAGAAGAGGCAGACTGCTTCTGAAAGATCAGTGTGGAAGTCTAACAGGGCAGCTCCACTCTGTGCTGTCGGGTCGAAATGCCAACGTCGGTGTGGACCTGACACACACAGTCACCACCACCACCAATAGCAATCTCTCTGCTGTAGTTTCCTCTTGTGAAAATGATGGTAATGGACAGAACTCACTACATAGGAACCTTGTGTGGATCAAGTGGACACGTCCCTATACATAGGTACTTAGAGCAGTTCTAATGAGCACGCATCTGCAGTGCTCTCTCTCAGAAGAGAACATCCCAGAGCTGTTCTGTGGACACCGAGATGCGCATGCCTCCCCAGAGCTGAAGGCACTAAATGGCCAAGTCACACACACTTCCAAGTGAAGAGGGTGTGTATGGAGCACTCAGTGAGAAGGCTGTGGGGAAAATGAAAAATCAGAAATGGATTTGCTCTGAACCCTAAGGATCCTGATGGTCTGATCCTCTGAGGGATTGAGCTGAAGAGAGACCCTTGTTCAAACTCTGGATTCAAGGTGTTGCCTTGCTTTTCTGTGTCCCGCCCTCCTGTTGCCTGTGGGTAGTTGGGACTGGCAGTAGACAGTAGCTGTGTGTGGCCTCTAAACTGTGCTCCAGGGAGGCATTTGCAGCCCAAGTCTCTGTACCTCTGAGACCGTGCTTCATGTTCATTTGGGGGGGTGGGGGGGTGGTTTGAGCAAATGCTATCAACTGTCAAGATGGGGAGCATAAGGCTAGGTCCTCAAAATGGGGGTGAATATCTAATTCTGCCTGACTGGAGAGCACATGTGTGCAAGTTGGTTTTTCTGATTCTTTCCAGCAGGGGCTAATAATAAAATCAGCTCACTTTCCCCCAAGCTTTCTCTCCCTGCCAAAGTACACAAGGGGATCATGGGCCCAGGACATTTACTGCAGATAATTCAAGCATCAGTATCTGAGGGTTTAACTGCACCGCCCATGGGTAGCTCTCCGGCTTAGTGGCCAGAGAGCAGCAACTGAGGGATGCTTATCTACCATTGTCTTTGTTCTTTTTAGGCAGACAAATTTCAGATGTATGTCACCTACTGTAAAAACAAGCCTGATTCCAACCAGCTGATCCTGGAGCACGCAGGCACCTTCTTTGATGTAAGCTGCGACTTCCCATTCTTGAGCATTGCTGAGCGGATGGGAATGCTTCTCTGCTTTGGGAGGATGAATGTTTAGCTGCCCTTTCTTGCTCATGTTCCTTTACTGGCCACTGAAAACCAATTCGTCATGGAGCAAAGCAGAAACAGTATTTATGCCTCCTGTCTGACCCCAGCCAGATCAAGCGCAGTGAATTTGGCTAAGGCAAATTGGTCACCGTGCCTCCATACCAAAACTAGCTAGCCATATATGTTTAGAGATACCAATTAGGTTGCAGCTGCTGATTCAGAGGCCCCTCCTTTCCCCTCCCCGTGCCTCCTCTGTCAGTGGTTATCAGGGGGTGGTCTCCAGACCAGCACCATCACCAGCAGCTGAGAACTGGTTAGAAATGCAGACCCTCAGACCTCTGTTTGGATCAAGGCTTGGAACCAGTTCATTCTAGTTGGACCAACTGCAGAGAATTTGCATTTCCACTGCAGAGAAACACCATCAGCTTCTACATTTTTTTTTTTTGGTAATCATTTTATAGGAGGCTCGTACGACTCTTATCCAATCCATCCATCCATCATTGTGTCAAGCACATTTGTACATATGTTGCCATCATCGTTTTCAAAGCATTTTCTTTCTTCTTGAGCCCTTAATATCAGTTCCTCATTTTTCCCCTTCCTTCCCCTCCCTCCCTTCCTCATGAACCCTTGATAATTTATAATTTTTTTTTCATGTCTTGCACTGTCCAATGTCTTCCTTTATACCCTTGTCTGTTTTCCATCCCCGTGGGAGGGGGATATAAGTAGGTCATTGTGATCAGTTCCCCCTTTCTCCTCCCACCTTCCCCTTACCCTTCTGGTATGGCTACTCTCAATATTGACCCTGAGGGGTTTATATGTCCTGTATTCCCTGTGTTTCCAGCTCTTATCTGTACCCATGTACATGTTCTGTTCTAGCCAGATTGTAAGGTAGAATTAGGGTCATGATAGTGGGAGTGAGGAAGCATTAAAGAACCAGAGGGAAAGTTGTATGTTTCATCGGTGCTATACTGCACCCTGACTGGCCCATCTTCTCCCTGTGACCCTTCTTCTATAAGGGAATGTCCAATTGCCTACAGATTGGCTTTGGGCCGCCGCTCCACACTATCCCCCTCATTTACATTATGATTTTTCGCTCTGGGTCTTTGATGCCTGATACCTGATCCCATCGACATCTCATGATCACACAGGCTGGTGTGCTTCTTCCATGTGGGCTTTGTTACTTCTCAGCTAGATGGCTGCTTATTTATCTTCAAGCCTTTAAGACCCCAGATGCTTTATCTTTTGATAGCCAGGCACCATCGACTTTCTTCACCGGCTTTGTCTTCAGCGATCATGTCGGGAAGGTGAGCATCTCAGAGTGCCGGATTATTAGAACAGTGTTCTTGTGTTGTGGGAGAACTTGCATAGAGACCCAGTGTCCATCTGCTATCTTAATACTAAACATATAAATATATGTACATAGATCTATGTCCCCATCGTCATATATAAATATATTTACATATGTACATGCCTGTATTTAGACCTCTGTAAATGCCCTTTGTCCCCTAGTTCTTTCCTCTTATTTCCTTTTACGTTCCTCTTGTCCCACTATCATGTTCAGCCTTCATTTGGGTTTCAATCATTCTGCTCAGTTGATCAAGCCCTACCAGACCTCCTACACCCTCTTCGCCATCTATCAGTCACTTGTTGTTCTCTTCTCCCTAGGTTTGTTAACACCCACTTCCTTCCCTCCCGCCCCCTCGCCTCCCCTCTCTCTGTCATCCCGTTGTTCTCTCTTCCAGCTTGTTTATCCCACCCAGATAGGCATGCAGAGACAACAATATGCACAAACACAAGACCAAGCAAATCAAAGCAACAATTGAAAATAAAACAATAGCTACAACAACAACAAAAAGCCAATGACAAAAGAAGAAAAAAAGAAAAGCCTATAAATAGTTGAAGGTCTGTTGTTGTCCTTTACGAGTGTTTACCAGTCAAGTCTGATGGGGTGCTACGCCCTGGCCCCACAGTCTATTTTTGGTGTTCCCTGGGGACTTCATTGCTCTGCTCCCCTTGCTGCTCTGTTGCACGCGCCCCCCCCCTAGGTGTGGTGAGGTCAGGGTGGGTACAATTCCCTCCGTGTACCTCCAGTGTTGTCCCCTGTGGTGCTATGGGTCAGTGAGGAACGTCATGTCTCATAGTGGGGCCAGCCCTATGGTCTTCTCTGTGCATTGGCTGCTCGGAGCAGAAATATTGTCCTCAGGGCTTGGTGGGCCAGATGTGCTTCACTCTTTTTTCCTTCCCCCTCATTTGCCTCTGTGTCCTCTGATCAGACACATCCCTCTCCTTGAGCTGTAGCTTCAGGGCTGTCCTCTGAAATGAAGTCTTCTGGGGGTGGGTCCACTTAGTTGGTAATTACCTAGGTAATAATCAACCCAGTTACTGTCTCTCTGGTGTATGTATCCTGTATTTCATATACAGAGAGTCATACAAAACACAAAGGGAAGCAAAACAAACATAAGAACCAATGGCTACATGAAACAAAAACTTCAACTAAAAAGAAAGCAGAAAGTTTTAAAAACTGAAACAACTTTCAAATGGGTCAAAAGGGTGATCAAATGATAAGGCATTACGTTTGACCCAATCACGTCTCCATGATTGACTTCCACTGCCCGGCCAATGTCCAATAGCAAGGCTAGTCACATCCCTTTCAGGGGATTTTTTTCAACTCTTACTGTGCATGGGAATCACCTGAGACACTTGACAAACTCCCTCTTCATGGGTCCCTCGGCTGAGCTTCTGGTGAGATTGTCCTGGGTGTTGGGTTAGTAAACACTCCCCTCTGAGCCTAATGGCTGTCAGGGCCAAGGGCTTGTGCTGTAACGGCAAGAGAAGCGTGAGTACTGAGATGCTTTCTCAGGTCCTTGGATTTTAAAGAGGACGCCCTGTTTTGTTGTTGCTGCTGCTGCTGTTGTTGTTTTGGATGATAGTACTAAAGCTATTGACTGCTAGTCAATAGTAAGGTATCTCCCTTGGAGAACTCAAAAACATGCCAATGTGGGTCCTATACTGAAGCTCACAAATGTACCGTCTCTGAGCATCTTCCTAGCCTGTTATTCACACAACAGAAGTGATTCTACAAGATTCCACAAGCATCTTGTTGCCCAGCGAAGGAAAGACATTTGAATGGGAGGAAGCCAGCATGATGAAAAACTAGATCTGATGTTTATCAGAGTGGAGCATTCACATGGAATGGTTCTGGGTGTTACAAACCAGAATGTCTAGGGCTACAGAGAAACCCAGGAAAGGGGCATCCTAATCTGATAGCTCAATGTACGGTCTATCGTGTATGTCTGGACCACTGTTAGCGTGGATTGATAATGTACTTCCATGGGGATGTTTCTAGCTGATTGTCCAGTGACAGTATCCAGCAGGGTCTTCCTGAAGCTTTACATGCACTTTACCCGGTTTCTACTTTGACTTCTCCTGAACTGCATGCCCAGTGCTTTGAGCATGCCCACGGCCGCTTCTGCTTTCTTATCTTTGTTCACACCATGGTCCCTGTGGACAGTTTGCTCTCGCAGATCCTTCCTATTCTCTTTGCATATCTCTGACAGCATTTGTAGCCATTTGCCTGCTAGCAGGTTAACAACGCGCTTTTCTGCTTCACACTCCTCCCTCTGTCCCTGGGCGAGCTGGGGGAAAGGAGATGCCGGACTCCAAAGCGTGCAAGTCACCGTACTAGCGGTTATTTGCTTCCAGTTCTGCACGACTCTGATTCCTGCTTCTAGGTCCTTTTGTGACTTTAACCAATATGTCAAACTCTCCCCACCCCCACCCCCTCGGTCCCCCGGCCCCTTACATGAGGCCAGGCGGTGCCTGTGGTGGGGCCGGTGAAGAACAAACCCTCCGTCTGGTGGCCAAAGCTTCACCGAAAGCTTGACCTTGGTCTCCTCACCCTATCCATCACAGGGCTGTCCTCAGTCCCCCACCGAGGAAGCAACTCCTTGAGGCCCGGCCCCCATTGTATAAAAGAGATATGGCCTTAACCAAGGCACCTCTTATGACCCATACTTACAAAGATAACCCAGACTATGATGCTCCTGGAAAAGTCCACGCGGTCACATGATCCAGACTCTGTTGCCCTAAATATGAGCGGGTGCTCAGGCTGATGTAGCTGCTGGGAGCAGCCCCTTCCTCAGTGTCCCATCTGCAGCCTTCCTTCCCAGAGCTGGGGGTCTTCCCAGAGGCCAGAGCGTCAGTGCCTTGTCAGCTGTGCCCGCCCGCTCGCTCAGACTGCCAAATAAACGCTCAGGGTTTGCTGGCCAAAGAGTCAAGCTGCCAGCTAGATGCCCCTCGCCCGTGAACGAGTGCTGTGGAGAGAAGGCACGTGAGTGAGAGAAAGCACTGCATTCTGGGATAGTTGGGCCAACGTCGAACCTTGATTTTTTAGTAGTAGGATTCTCTCTCCTCCTCCCCCTTCCACAGCCCCATAGCAAGTCTATCTAGTCTACCTGTAAAATGTTTCCTGTGTTCTTACTAATTCTGGTTCAGGGCATGGGCCTACCTTTGGCACCTGGAGTCATTTTTATCGAAGTTTTATTGGGATTATAGTTCACATGCCACACAACTCACCCATTTGCAGCGCACAATCCAGTAATTTTTAGTGTCTTCACAGAGTTATGCGGCTGCCAGCACAGTCAGGGTTAGGACCTCTCCATCACCTCAGAAAGCAACCCTGGGCCTTTTTGCTATTAACCACCTGACACCTCACCTCCTCCAGCCGGAAGTAACTTTCTTTCTACTTCCGGTCTCTCCAGCATTCCCTATTCTGGACATGTCATAATAATGGAATCACACTGCTCAGCATAATGTTCTCCAAGCCCATCTAGTGTATATTAGTATCTCATGCCTTCGAATGACCAAATCTGTTTCACGGGATGACAGTGTCCGTCATTCAGCTGCCGTGCATTTGGGTGGTTTCCACCACGGAACACTTGCTGGTGGTGTTGCCGCATACATGTCACTGTGTGGGCCTGTGCATTTCGTCCTGGGGGATGTACACCTAGGAGCGGACTTGCTGGGCCATAGGATCGCTCAATGTTCATACGCTTGGACTTTTGCAACACCCTACTAACTGCTGGGTCTCTCACCCTCTCTCTCACCTCAACCTCAACCTCAACCCCACCCTCTGATGTTGCTGTTAGACTTCCGTTACTCTTCCAGAGCAGAGCTTTCCCCATCTGTCTCCCACATGTAAGATCTGTGGTACTCTGTCATGAGAACAGAACACGCAGCCTCCCGGTCCCCTTCCCTGTGCTCTCACCTTGCTCTGGGTCCCTCTTTTCAATCTCTTGTCTTTATCTTGATTTCTTTCTTTCTCTTTTTTAATCATTTTATTAGGGGCTCATACAACTCTTATATCACAATCCATACATGCATCAGTTGTGTAAAGCACATCTGTACATTCATTGCTCTCATCATTCTCAAAATATTTGCTCTCCACCTAAGCCCGTGGCATCAGCTCCTCCTTTTTCCCCTCCCTCCCCACTCCCCCATCCCTCATGAACCCTTGATAATTTATAAATTGTTATTTTGTCACATCTTGCCCTGTCTGACGTCTCTCTTCACCCACTTTTCTGTTGTCCGACCCCCAGGAAGGAGGTCATATGTAGATCCTTGTAATCAGTTACCCCTTTCCAACCCACCCTCCCTCCACCTCCCAGTATCGCCACTCACACCACTGGTCCTGAA